GCTAGCGATCACGTAGCACATCATTATGTACCAGCTAGTCCAACTTCAGTAACCCTACAAACGTCACTGCTGTTTAGTTTTTCTTCATTTATGTTGGAAGTGATAGCAGAGCTGTACGTTTTAATTTTTTCAGAAATCTGTCAGTCAGAACATGCTATATTGTGTTTAGGTGGAAACTAGCGAGCTAACTTCCTGCTGATTGTGTTAAATTTCATAGAATCTGTTTTTATGGATGGATTTTATTACAGATAAAATAATTTAGACAGTTTGTAACTCTCAGTAATGCTGCAGTGTTCCTTTGACTTTGGGACCTGAAGTGGAGTTTGGACCCTAATGACGTCAGACTTAAAGACCAGATGTGGCTTGTCTAATTGTTGGGGTTTTCTCCGTATTATTTTAGGGTCTCTAACTTTTACCTTCTTTCCTTTCTTGTCTTATTTAATTATCTGCAAGCAAGCTGGTCTCACTGCAGTCCAGACCTGAATCCATCCATGTATTTCATTATGGCATGAAAAACAAAATACATCATTGAGGTCATGAACTGTAGCAGAGAGCCTACATTATGAAAATACAATACGGCTGTGTCCCCAACGTGGGGATATTTTCATGATCTCACATCCATGCAGTGCAGGCAGCGCTCACCCGCCAGCGTCTGCTGCTGGAAATGAGTCTGCGGCGCGGCACAGATAAACTACAACTGGAATAATTTAATCCAATTTTCCATTAGTGAATTACATAAGAGATTATTTATAGACTCTAAAGAGTACGACTGTGGTTACCAGTGAAGACGGCATGAGGCACTGATGCACCATGAAAACAACACAGCCCTATAAATGAGCACAACATTAATGATAACAGCGCGCTGGAGTCCTCGTGGAGCACTACGCCGATGTTTGGGTAGATGACGTTCGCCTGTCGAGTTCCGGCAAGTTGATGTTCTTACCTTTCTGCCCTTGTCGTTGTCTGGCAGGAAACAGAAGCGAGGGAAGCCTCTACAGGTGTACGGCTGGCCTGGGTTGGGATGCTCGGGACCCTGGTGACAAGGACACAAAGTGACTGATGTTAAGTTATAAAGCTTAATACAACAGAGAGAGAGAGAGAGAGGTCACTCGGAACAGTCGGATAATCTAATCAAAGATTTTGCAGATTGTTAACAGTAAACCAACAGATCGATACAAACTGCATTTAAGTGCTTACAACTTCAGGCCGGCTGTGTATGTGGAGGTTATAAATAAATACATAAAAGTCAGATTTACAGACAGAAGAAATTGCGAACGAAATTGGGCTTTCTTTCCTAAAACGCTGTAATAAAAGGAGGAAGTAACTCTGAGCCGTTCACAGCAGCATGCAGGAAAAGGCTCTTTAGCAGCAAAGCCGAGCATCAGACTGTTAAACTACTTTAGAAAGCCCTGGCTAATGGTGAACAAGCTGTCGTCCAGGCAACAGTTTTTCTTCCAGTCATCC